GTTTTCAATGCATTCCTATGGGAAATGCAGATTTGACCTGAGAACTTTTTGATTTGAGAACTGCCTTCCAATATGGATTAAGTTCTCAAGTCAAGACCCCACTTTAGACATTTTTCAACATCTAGAGACAAAAGAGAACGAGACAGAGGATGTCACAGTTCTGTTTTTATAAATTATTTGGAAGACCTTTGTCAGTTGGGAGTATTTAGATATATCTACTACAATATTCTATCATACCTTCTCTTGAAAAATTTTCAGAAGCCCTGTGTGGCTGCTGCCTTGAGCGATGGTCATTTGCCTGGTAAGGGAGAAAGGGAGATACAACCAAAATCTTTACCTTCAGTACCCTGAGCAAGCAGTTAAAAGTTTTGAGAAATTTTACATTTCTACATCTGCAGAAACACTTATGTCTTGCTGTACAACTCAATATGGTGCCATAATTCATCACAATGTGAAGAATGCAAGAGGTGAAGAACAATAGGCAAAATGACTTCATACAACAGGAGAAAAAGGTGACGCACTATCAGCTCCATATTGATCTGTTCTGTAGAATTATGAATATATTCTCAATGATAAAAACGTAACAACATTTAAAAAGAAATCTTAGCTCCAATGAAATCCTCTGTCCTCACTTAAAAAAAAAAAAAAGGAACTGCAGAAGTATGGTGCAGGTTCATGCAAACCTTTTTTGGTTCCCTTGTTACCGCTGTGGATGTGTAGGTTCTCCCCTCCTGACTTTCATATTGCATAGTAAAAGACTCGAGGATATCATAAAGGTCTTGTGCCTGAGCAGGAGGAGGCTGATCACCAAACAGAATGGCAGTAGCTCGAATATCCCGACCGTAGAACCTAGAAACAGAATGTATCATGTTATTCCGCAAAAGGTGGTGCAGTTAAGAAAAGTTCATATAGTGCCTATATCTGTGCATCACCTAACTCTACGAACACACTGGATTTCTCTTCTCTGGTGATTTGCTAACTGAGAAATTTATATGGATGGTTGGTATACATGCTTTACTCTTAGAACCAATGGAGTGTGCAACAAAATGTTGAAGTGTGGTGTGCTCCTTCTCCGGTTTCTAATGATCAGCCCTATCCTCTTGTTGGGATAATCCACTGAATTTCTTCTCTCCCCTCCAGCTTCCTAATCTTTTGCTGCTCCAAGGATCAGCTGACATTATGTGTCATTAAACACATTATGTTCTCACTGCATTGTTCTTGGTGCTTTCCCCCCATTTTTAAAAGCACTGTACTTCTGAAACCCTGGATGTCGCTCCCAAGGCTGTCTCCCTTGAATACATGAAAGCTGCTAGCTTGGATACACGATAAAAGAAACTAACATAGCTACACTAAGGCTAGTATTCTGTTTGATGCATTCAGCAGCACCTGCAAAACCTAACATTAGGAGGGAACATGGAGACAGAATGGTTCCTATGGGCAATGGTGTCAGACAAAGATGCAGTTTATCTCCTTACATAACACATCATATGGAAAGCCAAACTAAATTCAGATGAAGGAGGAGTGAACGCTGGTGGAAGATACCATCTTACTGGCAGCAATGAATTGAAACTACTTTTAGCGAAAGTGAAAGTATAAAGTGCCAAAGGGGGAGCTGACTACAGAACAACCACACAACTTTAGGGATGACAATGAAGACATTAAAATAGTTAGATATTCATACCTTGGTTCAATCATCAATCAAAATGGAGATTGAAGCCAAAAAATCAGAGGAAGACTGAGAAGGGCAGCAATGGAGTGAGAAAAAAATCATCTAGTGTAAGAACATGCCATTGGAGACCAAGATAATCCACATTCCTGTATTTCCAATCACCACGTATGGGTGTGAAAACCGGACAGTGAAGAAAGCTGACAAGAAAAAAATTCATTCGTTTGAAATGTGGCGCTGGAGGAGAGCTTCACAGACACTCTGGGCTGCCAGAAAGAGGAAACAATGGGTCTTACACCAAATCAAGTCTGAACTATTTCTGGAGGCAAAAATGCTGAAGCTGAGGCTGTCCTACTTTGGGCGCATCATGATAAAGCAATATTCTCTAGAAAAAACAGTGATGCTGGGAAAGGTTGAGGGCAGCGGGAAGAGAGGAAGACCAGATACAAGATGGACTGACTCCCTAAAGGAAGTCATGGACTTGAGCTTACAAGAACTGAGGAGGGCAGTTGAAGATAGGACCTTTTGTAGGGCGCTCACTCATAGGGTTGCCAGAGGCAACCTGATGGCACATAGCAGCAACAATCAAATTGTGGCACTACAGGAGAGCTATATAAATGTTAAGGACTGCTAGAAAGATAAATAAGTGCATTCTAGAGCAAATCTAGACTGAACTTTCACAAGAAGCTAAAACAACTAAATTGAAACTATTTTATTCTGGGCAACTCAGGAAAAAGACTCACTGGGAAAGACAATAATGCTAGGAAAAGCTGGAAGGAGTAGGAAAGGAGAAAGAAGGAACATAAGCTAGGTTGTCTCAATAAGGAAATCCTCAGACTTTAATTTGCAAGACCTAGGCAGGATTGTTAAAAGGACTTTCTGGAGGTCATTAATTCATAGGGTTGACGTGCACCAGAAGCAATCTGACAGGACATAATGATGAGAACAAATCTACAGAGAATGCCTTCCCACAGAAAATGCATATGTTGGGTAATTTCTTTATATACAGCTAAAATCCATCTTTTCCTCCAATGAGTTTATGAGGCCATATGTGACCCTCCTTCCTCCCTATATTATTCCTCATAATAACTATGTGTGTTAGACTAAGGTGAGAGACAGTGACTGGGCCAGAATAGCCGTGGCAGAATTGAGATTTGAACCTGTGTCTGCCCAAAGCCAGTCTGACACTAAAAATAATACCAGTCTTGCTTTGCTACATATCACTGACCATATGTATTCAGAAGGGGGGTGGGTAAAATCAAGTTATTGACATGAAACAGAGAGCCCTCATTGCCAAATGTTGTGTTGGTAGATAAATGAGGCAAAACACAAAAGAACCACACAAGCTTACCCACAGAAGAAACACCCTAGGACTAGCGTATTAAATGGTTTTCCATGCAATTTCCACCTTTTTTAAAAAAAACAAGTTAACTTATGAAGAGCATAACTGTTCAGAATCTATCAAAACTCTGTAGAGTAACAGTTCAGGTTGCAATATAACTCTGCACCACAGAGTGGTTTAATCTCTAGGAACAAGTTTTAGCATGCTGTGAAACAAGTATTAAAGACTCAAGCGGTCCTATTCTTTGGCTGAAACTCTTGGAAGGGATTCATCTAAACAGAAGGAATAACTAAGGGTGTATCTACATTGGAATGCTGAATTGGAAGGACGTGGCTTTGCTTCAATTTGCTTCAAAGCCCACACTGCATTTAAAATCGTACTCAGCGTTCACACAGGGACTGCGGAGCGCTTGAGGGGTTCACGTTCACACAGGACATGTTGTGATTGGCATTCCAGCCCACAACCCGCCTTCTTTCTTTCCTTCCTCTAGTCCCGCATTTGGTTTTCCTTATTTTGGTTGGTTGTAAAGCGGATTGGTTTCCAAATACACACATTCCATGGAATTCCCTTTCATCTCATCTTGCTTGCTTCTTTTTCCTGTCCCTTTTAAATTTTTTATATGTGCAGAGATGATGTAGCACTAAACTTGAAGGCAATAAAATAATGTGGTTTTTTTAAAAAAACAAACCAGAGGATGATCAGGGAAGCGAGAGAACATGGTGGTCGGTGTTCGATAGATCTCATTGTTATATCTGTCCCTTTTAAATTTTTTATATGTGCAGTGATGATGTAGCACTAAACTCGAAGGCAACAAAATAATGTTTTTTTAAAAAAAATCAGAGGATGATCAGGGAAACGAGAGAACATGGTGGTCAGTGTTCGATAGATCTCATTGTTATACTTCATCTTAACATCTACCTCTAAGGAAACTACTTTAAATCAAACAAACTGATATAATTTTAACATTAGGATACTCAGAATAGTCTGAATTTACAAGGATTCGCAAAATCAAACATTAAGTACTGTAATTAGTTTACCCAAGGGATTACATCATTGGAGAGTAACAAGCTGAAACCCCCAACTGAGTCGTCTCAGAAATCCCCCAGATGGGGTAGGATTTTTTAAATATATATATGTGTGTAGTCAGGAAAGAGTCACAGGAGGGGGGGTTAGTGGATGAGTTGGCTGGATACCAGGATGCTGCAGGGGAGAGACAAGAGTTCCAACTGTCCCCTGATATGGTTCATAAGGACCTAGAGATGGGATATGGGCCAGCACAAAAATGGAGCAGATGCCTTTTTCAGACAATCCAGGTAGATCTTCCCTGGCTCTCAACCAAGTATCGTCTCTAGGAATCCCAAGCAGGGAGCACAAGTGAATGCTGGTGCTACAGACATGCTCCTGCAGGGGTGAATGCTGGATTGAAACCTCCTGGCATGAAAAAGTCACAGTCCTCTACAAGCAGAAACAAAAATGGATTGTTACGGAAAAGGCTGGACCAATCCGATTCATCCTTGTATGCTATGCAGACTAGGTGGGTGGGGGAAGTTTCAGGTTCACCCATTTTATAGGTGGAGCAAATCCCATGGTAACTGACCATGTAGTTGCCCTCTAAATCAAGTAAAAGAACGAGTTACAGCGTAAGGAAGATGAGTTGTACTTTACTTTAGGGTGGCTTCTCCATACATTGTATTCTCAGTAGAAATGTAAAATTTTTGAAAATTTCCAATTTTTCCAGAAAAAAACCATGGGTTTTTTTCTTCTGAAAATTTCCAATTTTTCCAGAAAAAACATGTTTTTTTCTGGAAAAAAATTGGAAATTTTCAGAAATTTTACATTTCTAATTCTCAGTAGCAAAGAACATGCTGCACAAGGGTGACCTTGACTGTGCAGCTATCTTGATGGATCCATTCACTGGTAATAAGACTAAAATATTCAGAAGCAATGCCCTTGTCTAATGCGACACTTTTCTTCCATTGTATTATTCCATCCCTACATATATTGTTTTGAAGACAGAACTTTAAAACGTGAAATGTTATTGTTCACAACCTTCTTACTGAGAGAACTGAATCTTGAACAGTCTTCTCTGTCCAGCTACTTACTTGCTGTTTGTTTCCTTTCTTTCAATTAAGTAGCTCCCCTCTAAAGAGACACCTGCGAAGAGCCCCCGAGATTTGCAGTAGGTGAAAACAGCTGCGGAGCTTCTCAAGGCAACATCACCTTCTAGATTTCTACAAGACAAGAAAGCACCCCAAGTACAGTGAACGTCTGTAGAGCACCACTGTATAGACAAGAAAGCACCCCAAGTACAGTGAACTTCTGTAGAGCTTCCTTAGCAGTTTCCTGTACTGGCCTTATAATGAAAATGCCCAGTTAATAACCAATCATGTATGGAAACAAAAACTCACCACTTGCAAATAGTTCTCTGATCACCTACTAATCCTCATATATTTTATCAAAATATACACTTGGTCTGATTTACTCCAAGTCATGGTCAAACCATGCTCTCTCGCTCTCTCTCGCTCTCTCACTCCCCCCCCCACAGTGTCCTATACTCCAAGAAACTCCCACAGAAAAAGGAGAGTACCAACCAATCTCTTTACAGGTGACCAGAAAAAAACAGAACTGGGGTCTAGTGATTTACTGTTTTTTCTATGTCCTGCTGAAGGCTGCACAAAGCGAGTTCATACTCATGAACTCAACAAGTGTGTTCATGTCCATATTCCCTTTCCTGAAACTAAAAGAGAAAAGAAGGAAAATAGGAACACACTAGCCAAACATGTGTGTGGGAAATAGCAGACTATGAGCCTACTGATAGTTACTTATCATAGTGATTGGATCTGACTCAAAAGGACTAGACAACTAAATATAAAAACAGAACAGAAAACACAACAGCAAGAAAGTAATCTGTAAAACGAACGATTGGCAAAGATATAATTCATAAAGGCAATATAGCTGGCACTTCCTACATCTTAATGAACTGTGAAAGGTCCTATCATTAACAATCCTTCTCAGATCTTGCAATCTAATGTTGGTGACTTCTTTTATTAACTCTCTCTATCTCATGTTAGATCTTCCTCTTTTCCTACTGTTTTCCTCTTTTCCCAGCACTATAGCCTTTTCCAGTAAGCCTCATTTTTTCATTATACAGTGGTGCCCCGCAAAAGCGGGTGCCCCGTTTAACGACAAATCCGAATAGCGATTTTTTTGCGATCGTTTTTGCAATCACATTGCGATGTTTTAAATGGTAAAATATCGCTTTGTGATGATAGGTAAGCTGTTTCGCTTACCGATTTTCACATAGTGATGTTTTCCTAACAGCTGATCTGTGGTTCCAAAATGGCCGCCGGGTAAAAAAATGGCTGCCCGCAGTGTTTTCACGCCCATTCCTCGCTTACCAGGCAGTGAAAATGGCAGCCGGATGGAGGATTTTTGCATAACTGTGAGTTTTTTGCCCACAGGAACGCATTAAATGTGTTTTAATGCATTCCTATGGGCTTTTTTGTTCCGCATAGCGACGAATCCACATAGCGACGATTTTTCCGGAACCTATTTTTAAAAGGAATGCTTAAAACCCATTTCTTTCAACATGCTTTCTGCACACAGTGGTTTTAAGACAGACAAGACATTAGAGAAGCCAGCTTATTGTAAATTAATAGCCGTCCCAAGGGACAAAATATTACATATTTTCCTTCAGTTCAGCTCTTCCAGCAAGACTAGCAATGCAGTGTTCAGTTTATTGTAAATGCTGGAACAGCTCCGATATATTTGGTATTTTTGTGATACTCACCTCCCCAGAGGCCCAATTGCCACTGTAAAGTTTCCTCCCAGGGTAAGATTGCCGCCCTTTGCAAAGGCTTCAACTGCTCTTTCATGGTTCAGTATTATTACAAGGTCTGACACCTGGTGTTGGCAGGAATTGAGGGGGGAAAAGAAAACTGAATGTTTATCTCTTTCCTGATGGGAAGAAGAGAGACAATTCAAATTACATCTATTTATAACAGTTGAGGTAGAATTAGTGGCTTCCTAGAAGAGGAGACTCCAATACAAACCACATAAAAACCATATTACGACATGCTTCTGTAGAAGTGAGAGTAGTAGAAGTATTCTGACGAGCTGGAGAAATGACAAAAATTCTTTTGCACCAGTTTCCAACCAACAAAGAAAACAAAATGACTCCACCTGTTCCAACAAACCTATCTCCTTCGTATGATATGGTAATCAAGTTTTACCATGATATGTAGCCACACAAGGAGAGTTTGGGAGGTGGGTGGGTGCAGATATGTTCGCCTGTTGTGGCAAAGACAACAACAAGTCTTTTGGCACCTTAAAGAAGAGTAAGAATCATCTGCCGTAAACTTCTATGGACTACGTACAGCCATCCCATCAGAGGCATCTGTGGAAACTTACACCAACATTTTTAAATATTGTCTTTTAATGATGTAAGCCACCTGAAGTTCTTTTTAAGGAGAAAGGCAGGGTAAAATATATTTAATAAGCAAGTAAATAATACACACTTATTAGCTTTTAAAGTAGCACAGACCTGTTCCTTTATTTCACTATTCTAGTAACAGAAGGTTTGAAGAAGGCAATGGAGATTGCATGGTACTTCAGATGCCACTGGACTACCATTCTCATCATTCCCAGCTTTAGGTATTACTGGCTGATGGGAGTAGCAGTCCAAAATCATATTGAGGGCCATATGGTCCCTCACCATGGAATAGTATTCTGTTATATGCTCTTCAAACTGAAAATCACACAGAACATCTCACGTGCTTCCCTCTACCAGTCCATATGCATATGCCATACATCCACTGAATATCAGATATATGAACACCCATGAAGCCATCTTTCACAGGGAAGAAGTGCACACAGTGCTAATGGGCAGGCAGTTGTATCAATCATCTACTTTTTGCAGTAGTTTTGCTAGAATTAAAAAGGTTGTTTGAAAAATGGCTAAACATTAGAACAATTTTTAAAAAAACCACCGAACAAAAAACCCACATGAAGATAACAGCAACAATCTAGGATCTGACTCCTAATTTTTAGGCTTGACCCATTGGTCCGTCCCCAAGCACCATCAACACTGAGAAATACGGAATGCAAAATAATATTTACATGCTGTCAAGTCAGTTCTGACCTATGGCAAATCTTTCTAGGGTTTTCTAGTTACAGAGTGGACAGAAATGATTTCCCATTCCCTTCTTCGAGGGTGGCGATGGTTCTGAGACTGTGCAGCTTGCCCAAAGCTACACAGGCTGGCTCTTCTCCCAGGAGGTACAGCGGGAAATCAAATTCCCAGTCTCTGAATTTGCATCCATTGCTCAATTCCCTGAATGATCCAACCAGCTACCACATGAAGACAGTGGAGTCAAAAAGAAAAACTTGAAGCACATGCCTGTCACATACAGGAAGGAGTGAGGCAGAAAAGGCAGTCTGCACTCCACTCAGAAGGGGTGTGTGTGGGCATGTGAGTGTGGGTGGGTGAGTGGGTGTGGGTATGTACATACACATGAGTGTCTTTAATGATCTCTTTTTTTCAGTTTAGCTTCATAAACCCCTTGTTTATTCAAGAGACTGATGGAAGTTAAGTGGCTGTCATCTCAGACTAAGTAAAAATGTAAACAGGCCCTTCATTAAGAACTGGGATACGGATGTTCATTCAGAACACAACCCATCATCACCATTAGTTGCCTTGGCAGAAGAAGAACTGAATTAAGTGCACAGATTCCAAACAATGCCTCCGAAGGTAGCCTTTCTTTACAAAAGGGAAGCAACTCACTGATTTGGAAAGGACTAGAGAAAGAAAGTCAGTCAGGAAATATAAATCTTCCAGGAGCAGGGAAGAGAACTATGAAAGCTGAGATCTTTCACTGCACAATGTGTCTTATTATTATGGGTCTCTTGGGCAGAGTACATGCAATAGAGGTAAGGCTCAGCACTTAGTTCACTAGCTATTCTTCTCTAACTCTGCCATAATCCTATTAAGAACTGTAAGTTTTGTCCGAGATGTTTATGGAGGCAGTTCTTACTCGGATGTAACTGAAGGCTTAAACGACTAGAATTTTTTTTTCCAAATTACTGGGCAGGCTCCAATAATGCCATTCCATCGACAGAGCTGCTTCCATTGGCAGAACAGAAAGGAGGGACTTTCTTACCCTCAAAACCTGCTCTGGAGGACTGAACATCCTTAGAAGCCGTTTTTCAAGTGATGTGGAGGGGCTGCCGTGGGTGGCTACGGGGGCAAGAAAGTCCTGTTGTATACAGTGGGGGCTTGTCTTACGAACGGCCCGAGTTACGAACATTTTGACTTAAGAACCGCTCTCATAGGAAAATATTGACTTGACTTACGTACTTAGATTTGAGTTACAAACTGGAAAAAAACCCACGTGGGAGGCAGGGAAAGTGCAAAATGTGAACTTTCAGTTAACTGTTGGCCAGTGAAAAGGGTGCCTGTCTGCTTCCTCACTCCTCCCAGCGTTTAGAGGGTGGATTGGGAGACAGTCTTCGGACTGCCTGGTACTGTCCTGCCTGGACTGTATTTTCCCTGCCTTCCCTGAACCTTTCTTGACCTAAGAAAAAAAAAGAAACAAAATATCCCCCTCTAGTGGTCGAAGGCAGAATAGCAGCTTCCCATTAGTTTCTATGGACGGAAAAGAGCAGATACGGATCAAATGGGTTTCAATGCATTCCTATGGGAAATGCAGATTTGACCTGCCAACTTTTTGACTTGAGAACCGCCTTCCAATACGGATTAAGTTCTCAAGTTAAGACCCCACTGTAAGTGTAGGAGTGGGCCAAGGGGAGTTCTGATACTGGCAGACTGCAACTCCTTCCATTCCTCTTCACTGGAGAAGCTGCCAAAGGCTAATGGGAGCTGCCTTTTAACACCACCACAGCCTGGATCATAGAGGAAGCCACACATGTCCGAAAAGGAAGGGAAGCCACAATGACAATCCCAGGTGCACAGCTGGAGAACCTGAGCCTATAATATCCAGAACTTTTTTTACTTACGGTATTCTGATGGAGAAAATGAATAAGAACAGGTGTGGCCTGCACCAACTGATACCATCATGCTTCATGTATTTACTTGAATAGAAATGGTCATGTCCTCAAGGCCCCTCTTCTGCAGCTCCCTCAGTGATCCCCAGAGAAATGGCCAAAAAAGTTGCAGTTTGTTCCCAAAATTGTATGGCAAACTGCTCCCTCTATACAGGAACCTGAATAACGCCACAAGTGAGCCTTTTTGGCAATGGAATTTAAGCAGGAAATTGGCAATTGCCACTCTCTGCACCTGGTGCCTTCCCAGTATGTCTCTTTTTAAAAAAACTGTATTGTTCATGACAGAGGATTAAGTATTTTGTTATTTAAAAGCTTACAGTAAGTATTAATTGTTATTAAAGAAGCTTATGCCTGCAGGACTATTAATCACAATAATATCTGCACTTTTCTGCTGGTGGTTGCATAACCATATTAAAGTAAGTTTGAACAAATACTTAAATTTATACACTAATATTGTATAGGAAAAGTGTTTTAAATTCTAAAAAAATTATTCATTAAGTATTGAAATACTGTAACCTAATTTCCTTACTAAGTACAGAAATACTGTAGCCTACATTTGAAAAAATAAACACTCCCAAAAGAAATCAACTAATTAACTATTTTGGCTTTTACTCTTTCCATTTCAGCCATGCTCCCTTAGAAGTGCGGTCCCTGGAGCCATCCTTTATTACTGGATTATATGCATACAGGCTGCAGCAGGCAGCCTTTCTCCCTCTTCCCCTCTGCCCAACCTCCCAGGATGGCATTTACCACTGGCAGTTTTAAAATTGGTTGTTGTGGGTGTGATGATTTGTGTTTTTATGTGTATTAGAATGGGATATGTAGTCCTAAGAGAGTCCCAATAGCATCCATCTTGATTTAAAGTCTGCTCTGTAGTAGGAAAGTTTTTCATGCTGTTTCAGAGAAGATTAGCACAGCCCATCATCCTCAATCTCATGGTATGGTGGAAATTGTATGGCAAACTGCTCCCTCTATACAGGAGGCTCTCATCTGCGATTTTTCGGGCTCTTTGGCTGTGTTCTGAACATGGCCAAAGAGCCCGAAAAACCCACAACAACCATTAGATCCTGGCCGTGACAGGCTTTGCGAATACAAGTTTTAAAATTACCAAATATTTGGAGTTGCTACCTGATTAACTGCTTATATTTAGTCCATCAAAATGAACTGATCAGCAACTACACATCAACCTTAACACTTACCTCAATTCCAATTTCGAATCCACCACCGAGGCCAGCTATCCCTATTGCAGATGGCGCCGACCAGCCTGGATACATAAATGGGAACACATTATGACCATGCACTGCACACACTTTGTTGAGAGGTATAGAGCGCAATGTGAAAAGAGGTACCCACCACTTACATTGCTTTTATTGAAAGCTCATTTGCAAATAATCCCATGCCAGTATGCAAGCTAGATTTCCAAAGAAAAACAGCTTTAAAGAAAAATGCATTTTACAAGACTACACACAGTGAAGACATTTGTACAGTCAATCTCATTCCTTTATGGACTGTAAATTGCTGTAAGATTTCTACTTCAAGCATGCTGCAGATTAATATGGGGGTAGCTATTAAAAGTGCAACATACACATTCCATAATGTTTTTAGATATACCTAAAGCCATTAAAACATTACACAACACAGAACAAATAATCTTTCATCATGACAACTAAGTGAACAGTAGATTCATTTAGTAAAACTGAAATATTTTCAGAGCAAATCACGCTGAGTTGTTTGATATTATGGTTTGTTCCTAAATTCACATTACACAATATTTACTTCGCAAAGTGTTGGCTCATGACAAAGGGAACATTCATCTGTCAACTATCCTTCTAAGAAATTAAGGTCAGCCATTAGAATCTGCCAGCAAAAGATTTTTGTGGCTGTATCAGTAAGACAATTCTGGGTTGTTATTTAAAAAAAAATCCTTTAGATAATATAAATGCTGGAAGGAGGTTATATCAAAGGGCTTTTGTCGGCTAGAATCCAGAAAATGCAGTTAGCTCTGCGCTTAACAATTTTCACTAGTGCTTGCACGGACACTGTTTTACTTTGGTTTAATCCATGCTGGTGATGAAAATAATTGTGATTTGGGGGGAGGGGTATAACTGAGCCCTCAGGATGTTCTAACTTATTCTTATTCCTGTCAATTTGTTTTATAGAGAAACAAGAAACAGAGGCATATGTGAGATGTTGAAAGATGTGACGGGTCTTGAGATTTTATTCTGGGGGACGTATGTGGGGACAATCACAAATATGTAACTGGGAGAGGACAGGTGAGATTTATAAAAAGCTGGCTATTCAGAATATGCAGGACCTATCACAGCTTAAAACTCTGTGTGCACATTTCTGTTTAGATCATACGGAACCTTTTCTGTATGACAGAAAAACAAGTCTTGCTTGTACTGATGATGTTCCTGGGAGGTATTAGGATTACCAAAGCATACACTGGTTGCCATTGCTTTACATGAAAAATGATGAACTTACTTCCATTAGGCAGGCGAGCTACGACAATCCCACTGCCTCCTCGTGCAGTTACCAAAAATCCAGCTTTGATAACAGATAAAACTGCAAGGCCTTTTGCTTTGGCAATTACATGGACTGAAAACAAAGAATCAGACAGTTAAGAACTTTGAAGGTATAAGAACAACAACTGATGGTTTTTCCCTTATTGTAAAAGCAATGATTATGTATAAACAGTAGAAGTGGAAACCAATGAATTTTTTATTTTAACACAGTTTCTTCAGAAACTCACATGATTTTTTTAAGTTTTAAGTTTAAGAATTAATAAGGACATTATTTAGATTCACATTTGTAACTCGAAAACCAAGAATACAAGCCTGACATGTTTAAGAGTATATATGTTAAATTCCTATTAATATTTTTATCCCTGCTTTAAAAATATTATTTCCAACAATAACATGTACAGAAGTGTATTTTTTAGAATTTAAAAATGTCCTCCACAATTGAAAGCATCATTTTTAGGGAGAAAATTTTTAAAGGAAACAGAGAATGCAAATATGTACATGAATGATGCCAAAGTAAAGGGAGTGACATTCCCTTCAGTGGTGCTTTTGGGTAGAGTTTGATAGTGAAACCCTTCTTCTTCCTTTTTTCCTGAGTATTAAGAATTGCATCAAATAGGAACTACCTACCTTTTCTGGCCGGAGGCCTTCAATAGAACATTGGACAACCATCTGTCAAGATCTGCTTTGACTTGGATTCCTGCCTTAAGCAGGAATCCAATTCAAAGCCAAGTCAAAGGCCATGGAGTCCAACTTGGGCTCGATGGCCTTGGAGGCCTCTTCCAACTCCATGATTCTATAACTCCTCAGGACATAGCAGATGCCATGTTGCACTGTCTTCTTTCGATTACTTTGGTTATTTAGAAACCTACATAGTTATGACTAGTGTGGGCAGACTTCAGAATTGTTAAACTTTGTGTAAATCCCACACAAAATGTGATCATCCCATTAACTCTACCTCATTTCAGTGGTATAATTTGAGAGAAAGGTTCCAAAACTCTTGCAAATCTACTGCAAGTCACAAAGAGATCCATCGACAGATCCAGATCTACTAGCTGTTCACTTCTGCTATCCATTTGCTGCTTCAGCTGTCCCATTTATAGTTTCCTCAAACTACAGTTAATGCTGAGCTCACGCCCATGGTGTCTGAACACCTTCTGCCAGGTTTGGCTGTTCGTCTGATGTGGTCCTCACAGCCCTCACACCTATGGGTGTCAACACCTCGAGAAGCCCAAAAAACACCAACTCAAAACTGGGCCTTCTCAGCTGTGGAACCTTCTTTATGGAACACAACACCCCAGGAGTTATGTCAGGTGCCTTCCCTTCGTGCCTTTAAAAAGCGTCTCAAAACAGAGCTTTTTAGAGCTTTTGGGAAGGTCCTCTGCAATTAACTCGGACAGAGGTGGAAAAAGGAGGGACACAACTCATAATGTGTGATATTTATTCTGCCACTCATCTTGTTACTTTCAATGAGGGAGTTAGTTTATTGTAGTTATTTTTTTAATTTATGTTTTATATACATTTTGCTTTTTCATTTGTTTTGTACCCTATCCAAGAGTAGCAATTTGCTTTACGAGCAGTATATAAATTAAATGAAGAAATAAAGAAAGGGTGTGACAGGACCAATCACAATTTGCTTGATTAATAACCTGAAAGATATGGGGGAAAGGACCCTACAAGCCAATGAAAAGCAGGGGAGTAGGAGGAGAGGTCAAGGCCAAACCTGCAAGCCAAGGCGCATTTCCCAAACTGTAGTTCAAAGAATCAGAACATAACATCAGAACAAGGTTATTGTCATCCTTCAGAAAACATAATATGTTCTAATTATACCAGCCAAATTTCAGCCCAAACACAGCTTTTTTTAACGCAGACCCTCTGTTCTTCTGGCACCAGTAGAATAGTAGGGTAATTTTGATACCACGTTTTGCATAGAATCTTGCAAGTCTTGATTAAAATTATTTCCTCCTAGCTTCACCAAGCTTTTCTGACTGTCCTGAAATCCCTTGTTGGCAAAATTAAATGAGAAAAATAAGTGGAAAGTGGGGGGAAAGAGAGAGAAAACCAAAATATTGTGGCACATTAAAGGCTAACAGTTCTACAGTATTTCTGTGTGAGCTTCTGCTGATTAAAATCCACTTATCCCTTGGGTGATTTGTATAATAAACAAACAAATAAAATTCTCAATAAAATTGATTTTGGAAAGCAAGCCGAGAAGGAAGAAGCATGCCCTGGGTAGAGGTCTGAGATATTCAGTGTGCATGTCTGTGTGTGGAGGCATTTCACCTTTATAGCACTCAGTCTTCAAAGACAGAATATGCAGTATGTCACCAGTTTAAAGCACACGAGCACAATTTGGACATTTATAATCATAAACAGAGATTAAAAGAGTAGAATTTGAAACAGAAACCAAATAATTAACTTAATTCTAATATTGCATCTTCTGCTCAGCACTGACATTAAAGTTTGCTGAAGTGCTCTAAGATGTAGTTATTAGACTAGAATTTAAACTTGAAGATGAACCAGTATAGTAAGAGATAAAAATTTCTCAGGGTAATTTCTGAAAAGGTCACAGTTTCCAAAAGTAGACAAAACTGAGGCAGTTGTCTGTTTAAAAAAAAAAAACCAAACAAGCAGGAAATGCAGATGAAAATTGTGAAACTCAAGAACTACCAGCTGCTGCTTTGTGATTTTACTTACTACTATAAAAAATATTCTACACTGGTTCACTACGATTTTTTTTCCTAGAGAAACTTTGAAAATACCTTATCCCACTAAGGTCTCAGAACCTAAACTCTGTAGATTTGAGATCTGCCAATGGGGAAGTTCGATCTGCAGCTGTACCTTCAAGTTTGCTCATGACATAAGGCAAATGGAATAGGAAATTGATGAGCAGATGTTCCTGAAGCCACCGTTTAATATAATCATCTTGAAAGTATGTTGTGAGTGAGGAAAAGGGACATCTCCTGGGCCAATGATGTTTCCTTGAAGGTGACGCTAGTTGTTCTCATGGAATACCTTGTAGAAATATGAGACCTCAAACTATCGTTAAGTTGCTCTGCCACTAAGTGATCCACTTCATGTTTCACATACAGAATATTTAAACAATCTTTTATGATGAAAATTTTAAAATAAAAGTTAAGAACAGAGCACAAGGGTAGACAAACACACTTTCAACAGCAACAAAAGTGATCCCCTATACTGACCAGGTATGATCTTGTCGGGACCATTTCTAGAAGTTATTTCTGTAAATTCTCTTAAAATCTTAGCTGCCTTTTTTGCTTCTGACTTCAGATTGGAAGGTATAGGGTTATTCACTGGAAGGGAAAAGAGAAATGAACAAGATAAATGGTTATTACAATATTCAACATTTGTTATAAAGGGAGTATAGAACATATGCCTCTTTCTAAAAGCCTATAACTTTGTGTTTTTTTCTGGTTAAAATGATTTCCTATGTAAACTGACAAAGCATATGACAGAGGAAGAAACTGGCTGAGTTTTTAAGTGGAAGCATTTCAGTCCATAACTATCATTCTGACCGTATACTTAACATGAAATGTAAATGAATAGCTAATTTCTCAAATCATTCAGAGATAAGTTAATTCTATTCATTTTCTCCCCCCTCTCCAATAAAAGGACTCAGAGCAGCTTATCAAATGTTTTAAAAACACATCCAATTAAAATACAATAAATTACAATATAAAAATGCAATCAAATATTCTACTTATTAAAACTACAATCAATTTAGAAACACACTGAAGAGGTAAACATAGTTAGACATCCCCCCACTAAAACTCTACCTTGGCAACTAATTATATGCCAAAACTTTATTTGAACAGAAAGGTATTTGCCTGCTAGCGTAAGGACAGCAAAAAGAGAGAGAGAGAGAGAGAGAGAGAGAGAGAGAGAGAGAGAGAGACCCACTTCGCCTCCGTGCGCCAAGGGAGCCACTTCTACATCTTGGGAAATGCCACTTCTCTCATGGCCTCATCTGACATGCCTATGAAGATGATGGGACCAAAGAAAGGTCTTCCCTAAAGCACTTAAAATCTGGAAAGGCTCATATTGAATAACTGACGAAAAACTGAAGAAGTTGAATAAATATATAATATGTCACTGTTGTCTTCCATAGCCTTGCTATGGGCTACAGGGGGAAAAAATCACAGTGTTTTATGGTCCTATTAAATAAACTTTCCAAACCTTACAAATCGTAGACACACTGTCACAAGATAAGATTGGAATAAAAAATTGAATTACAGTGCCTGTGGGCCATAAAATCTAACATTACTAACTCAAATGCATATGAAACTTATAGCTTGCGAGATTTATTAAGGCAGCTTGCCTCTATCTAAAGGATAGACAGTTAAGCTGTAACTAAAGAAGTAAAAATGTTAGCGTTCTGTCAGTATCACCAGGCTGGGAAGGCATGTGAACAAAGTAAACATTAGCATAGCTTGGAAAGCAAAATAATTTGTTCTCGGTTTTGCTGACAACATTGGACAGCTCTGAAATAGTTTTTTTTCTACACAATAATAGAACAAAATTTTATTTAAGAATTATGTTTAGGCTAACCATAAAGAGAAAGACCCTCTCACACAATTATACTGTATCCTGTTTGTTCATATAACACCAAGACACACAAGACTTTACTGAGCATGGAAGGATAGATCCTGCCCTATAAACCTTAGAATCTAATATCCGATACAAGGGATAGGGAAACAAGGAAAAAGTGATGGGATAAACACAAGAAGAATGTGTGACTATCCTGTAAGTCGCCATGGTCCCCAACCTTGGGTAGTCCATGTGTTTTTGGACTGCAACTCCCAGAAACCTCAGCCAGCACAGCTGATGGTAAAGGCTTCTGGGAATTGCAGTCCAAGAACACCTGGGTTATTCAAGGTTGGGAAACACTGCTGTAAGACATATTTAAAACAGGTCATGGGCAACTGGAAATTGTAGAAGGCTATATGGAAAGGAAGGATTTGAAGAAAGGGAATTAATGTCACACACAAACAGTCCTACATGTTCATTCTTTCTCTGTATAAAAGGGATACTGTAGATGAAGTAATAACCAGTTACTGCTACTAATGGCTAATCATTCCTCTAGGTCAAGGATGGGCAATACGTTGTGCCCCAGATATTGCTTGACTATAGCTCCCAGATTCCCCTCCGACCTTATTGACTACGTGGACCAGGGCTGATGGGTGCTGGCAATTGACAATATTTGGAGGGTCACAAGTTCCTAATAGCATGTACCTGCTGTAACATGCATTCAGAACAATGTATGTGTGCAGCCTGGTGTCTGTCAAAGCTTACAAAAAAGTGAAGAAAAAGAGCAAGAGGAGGAGGAGAAGAAAGAAGGAAAAACATGCAACTATAATGATTTAGCATAAATAACAAAATATTGGTACAAGGTGTGGTGTAGTCGATTATCAAGAGTATTCAGGCATTTTCCACTCTGTTACATTCACCATGCCTAGAGGAGAGTGCCTTACCCTTGCCACTCTCCTTTTTTACATGTGGAAAGTCTACAGAGGTTCCTTCTCATATGAAATAGCTTGATTTTCCAGGGTGCCTACTCATGTGTAGAGCCTGGAGAGAAGGACAAGCACAAATGTCTCCACTGTAAGCCTGTAACTTCCCACATGTAGAAAGTGAAGACAAAGAGGAGATGCTAGCTGCTCCCCTTTAAGTGTAGCTGATGTATCCATGTAGGGCAGTGGTCCCCAACCTTTTTAGCTCTGCGGACCAGCGGGGAAAGGCGGGGCATCCCCCTGCGCTCATGCACATGTGCACATGCGCAAAGGAGCGGGAGGCACTTGTGTGGGTGCACACATGCTTGTGCACATGCGCAAAGGGGGGTACAGTGCTTGTGCAGGCACGCACTTGCGCGCAGGCGCAAAGGGGCTGTGCGGGGGGAGTGCCTGCGGGAGGTGGGATCGGGAGGTCTGTCTCTGTGGCCCGGTCCGGCTCAGGTCACGGACCGGCACCGGGCCATGGACCGGGGTTGGGGACCTCTGATGTAGGGAATGGCTTGGTTCTTCCACTGTTGGATCAATATCCATTATTACTTCAGTCCTTAATATAAGAGATGTTAAAAACAAGATTTTGGTAACAGGAGGTTATGATTGGATCTGCATCTACAAGCTAAAACCAATTTTTTACCTAGGTTATCTCTGTGAAACTGTAAATCTTCTTTAAAAGACTAATGAATACAATGCATAATAAGCTTATGAGCAATTATTGTAACAATCTTAGAGTTACAGAGAACTATTCTGTTGCTAACTGAAAGCAAGACTAAACTGCCCATCATTTCTCAATAATGGTTAGGATCCTGTGGGTGATTTACCTGTGTATACATCAAATTGTGTAATTTAGAGTGGCAAACTGCTATGAAATAACAAGACACACTCCGTCCAGTTCCCAGTGTAGGTTGTCCACCAAGGTGACCAAAACATTCTCTGTCCAATAACCAGGCCTGAAACCAGATTTGAATGGATCTAGATAATTCATCTCATCCCGGAACCCCTGGACGGAAAGCCAAAACCCGCTCCAGCACCTTGCCAAAGGGATATTACTACCCTGTTTCCCCGAAAATAAGACCTAACCTGAAAATAAGCCACAGTATGATTTTTCAGGATGCTCATAATATAAGCCCTACCCCCCAAAAAACCCTAGTTAAGTGAAACCCCGCCCTCCGCCCTTGTGCAACAACCAAAAGAAGATGACATGACTGCATTTGAATAAATGTAGATGGTTGTACATTAAAAAAAAATCCCCTGAAAATAATCTCTAATGCATTTTTGGAGCAAAAATTAATACAAGACCCTGTCATATTTTCATGGAATCCAACTTACTGCTTGTTCAGCCAGGTACAGTGAAACTAGCCGGACTTCATTTATCAAGTTACTGAATTGACAAGGTATTACAGTGGTGCCTCGCATAATGAGCGCACCGTATAACGACGAATCCGCATAGCGATCCCTTCTCCGGGATCGCTAATGCGGAGGCATAGCGTCCGTCCCTATGCAAAAAACTCCAATGGGCTTTTACGTTCCGTTTAGCGACGATTTCACATAGCGAGGGCTAATCCGGAACGGATTAACCTCGCTATGCGGGGCACCACTGTATATAGAAGTAAGAGTAAGAAGTCCAAAGAAGTGAGGCCAAAGAAACGGCTTGATGCACGTCCATATTTTAAAGGATGGTATGGAAAGTACTTTTAGTTATCATTTGAAAGAATTAAATTACAGTATGCTATGAAACATGGAAAATACACTGAGCCATAGAGTTATCCTTCATGTATCTTTGAATGCTCTTCTTTCTGTTCTAGAAGTCAGATGACAGAATGTTAACAACGTATTAACAATAAAACAAGCTTGAGTAAAGTTTCATCAAACTTTTTTTAAGTCATCAAAATGGTGTGTTGGAAATCTGAACTATAGTATCTGCCTTCACCTTAGAAGACGTTCTCATCTAAGTTCAATTGTTTTTCAATTATATTTTTGCAATGTGCTTTAATATAATAGGGATACACATACACACACCATTCAAAAATATAACGTATCAGCTATGCAAAAGACGAAAATAATTTAAAAGTACAGTACAGTTTTACGTTTTGTTATAAGAACATTGTATCTCATTCTTCCAGTGAATAACAAACTAATCTTTGAAACACAATCCACTACATTGGTTTTAAAAAAGAGAAACAGACACCCAGCCCTCAAAAATATTATAGCTTTTTAAAGGACAAGAATTTTATTTCAGTGCGAGCTTTCGCGGATCAAAGTTCACTTCCTCAGAAAGTGGACTTAGATCTGCAATTCACAAAAGTTCACACTAAAATAAAATTGTTAGTCTTCAAAGTGCTGAAATATTTCAGTCCCCTCTCCTCTCTTCTTTTGCCAAAACACTGAGGCAGACTAAGGATGTGACTACATTGTCCAGCTTCATCAAAGCAATTTGCCACACTGTGGCTTGGCATACAACTACCTTTACCCTTCTACTGAGATTGCATGATCACATGGCAACTGCAGATGGCTTTAGTGCCAGTGTCCACACTGGTCCCACAATCTAATGCAGTTCAATCCACCCCTTTGATCTTGCCCTCAACCAATCTCTGCTTTTCCTTTTATGGTTGATTGTAAAGCCGATGGGCTGTTTAAAATGCTGCATGGTGTTTAGGGTAAAAGTCAGTTTCCCAAAGATCTCCATAACATACAAACACATATACACAATCCACAAAAACATAATAGTCTGCTGTAATTCATCAGAGTTGTTTCTATTTTATACTGATTTTTATCTTTCGTTTTTGTCC